TTTTTTTCTCTAAATTACGTATACTTTCCATATTTATTTTAGATTTTGGCTCCTTGGCCCTCTAGACACATTTAGATATTAGAAACTGTCTAAGCCTCTCATTCTCCTTTTTCATTTCTGTTCGTGTTGTCTCTCCCTTAAGCGCTATAACTTCTGAGATTTAATTCAGAATTGTTTCTTTTCCCCTAAAACAAAATACCCTATTTTTCCTCTTATGCTGTGTTCTTGATTCCCCTCTATACTTGTGTGTTAATTAGGCTGTAGATTATTAGAATGGCATTAAAATAAATACAAAGTTACTAAAATTTAATGACCAGTTCAATTTTAATTCATATATCGAAGTTTTCTAATTTTGGAATAAACATTTCTAACGTTTCAGTCTTTTTTCAAAGTTTTTATGCGATGATTTCCATTACCCCACGTGATTTTGTAATGAGGCTCAATGTTGTTTGCTTTTTATAATTAAAACAATACAGAGAGAAATACTCAAGTTTTGACACATGCCCGTTATTTCTTAGAGTATACTGTTTGCACCATTTAAATAACTTCTCGCAAGATTGTTTTCTTAAAAATATGCAAAATACCTTCGGTGGGCGTTATTCCCCTACTTTTCTTTATAGGGATTAATATACTGGAAAATTGTAAAATTGAAAACATTTAAAATTGTAAATATTTAATTCTAAATTAAAGTTTTATCTATTTCGAAATTAAAAGTGCTAAATATATAAATTATAAACAGAGTAGTAGCCATAATAATTAGCTAAGGGTATACTTTTAATATTTCTGTTAATTTTACATATATATATTTTTTTAAACTAAAGATTACAAACACTTGGGACATATTCATTTTTTTATTTTCTCCTAATCGTATAATAACCACTCACATCAATTTTAACATTTCATTTTATAAGTGTTTACAGATGGGTTTCCGCTTAATTAGGCAATTTTTCCCTTGGCAGTAAACAACAGGAACGAGTTCTTTTGTCTACATTTTTGGTGCCGTATTGTGGTCACTATCTCTGGTCTCTCATCTCTCGCAAGCCGGTCGCTGATTGGCTAATCCAAATGATTAGCCAATCAGGGACCGGCTTGTGAGAGACAAGAGACAGTGACCAGAATACGGCCCCTGCTTTCTCATTGCAGTACAGAAGACCGATCTGGTTAGAAGTGTTTTTATGAGGTGAGTAACATTTTACGGTTTTTGGTGTCTGTAACGGTATAGATCGATAATATATAGTAAATAATAAATATATTAATTACTCTGATTAGAATGGCTAGTGTAGGAAAGACAGTCGAGAGGTAGTTCTTCAGGATTTCGAAGAAAGTATCCACGAACGACTAGACATAATTAAGGAATGGTATTGCTTTATGAATCATACATAATTTTTCTCTTAATTTTATTCACTACACATGCTAGACATGTTCAAAACACCTAAAATATGTGAGGGGAAATTCATTTAAAAAACGCTATGAACAAATATTATATAGTTTCAGCCACTATTGTTTAAGCTTGTTTTCGTGGCGGAGCGGCACATTGTAAGGCAGACGCTTACCAAGAGTGTCACGTGACATTTCTGGGTGTGTCTGGTCACGTGATATATCAAAATATACTGTAGTCGTTGCTTACGAGATAAGCACCGGACGATTCTGGAACTTGTCGTTTTTCCTTTGGACTTTAGTATTTGCATTTTTCACCGGATGCTTGCCCTCTGGTGTTTAAAAACAAAACTATTATCAGCAGTAAAGATGAATAGTTAATAGAAAAAGCAAAGCTTTCTGTTGCGTTCCAAATTGCAATTTCAAAGCCTTACGGGAGCCCAATATAAGTTTTCGTCTATTCCCATACAAAAAACATGATTATTCGGAAATCGGTCGGTTATATTTGAGCTTCTCCGAATTCTAAAACAGTGGATTAGACTGTTAAGAATTGGCAGTTTCTCGATTGTCCAGCTTTACACGAACAAGTCATGCTGTTATTTTAAAACATATTTTCTTAAAGTTTAAAATGCCAGTAATTTTGTGTGGGACACAGGGTCGGATTTTAGTATTTCGATGTCTTAAGCTGAACTCTGTAAGGCCCCTTATCAACCATTGACAATTTTAGAAGTCAATTATAAAAAGAAAAGAATCAAATCAGACTATGTCTCTGATATAATACGGATATTAGATAAAAAAGATGTGAAGTTTCACTAGTCTTCTGTTTATAACCGAATTTAATTAAATTTTTATACCCGTTCCATTATATTTTTTTTGAAATTAGTTTTATCAATTTTTTAAAAAAAGATCTTATGTTAATTCTTAGAAAAAAATTATTGAAATAATACACAAAATAAAAAGTAAAGTATATTTCGTTGTATGTATGTATTTATGTAAGTGATATTTAGAAGTATATTTTGTTGGTTTGTAAAAAATGTTTATTTACAAAATTTGGCTTCAATTTTGTTTTTTGTACAAATGTTTGAGGCCTTAAGCAACAACTTACATATAGTCTATTTATCCTAACTTGGCACCTAGTGTAAACAAAGATTTTGTTGTATTAATCTGTCGGAGATTTTCATTGGTCAAATCACAACCGGAAGTGGCTAGAGACATGTTGACCAGTTAAGTTCTTTTCTCTGCACGTGTTAATTACAGTAGGTCAGTGGTCACAAAAATTTAAAAATTACCGAGATAATACTTAGAAAAGTTAATATAACCTACTTTAACATTTTTACGTAGCCGTTTAAATTATTTCCATCGTTTAAATATAGTTAATAATATATATTTAATAATAATTTTTGACAAAGATTTACACAAAACATATTTGTAATTGTGTACGTGAACATACTTCAGAATTTTTATCTACACAACTGATTTACTAAATAGATATAAAACAAAACAAAAAAAATTCTCTGGCAATTCTTAAAAATCATACGCAAACCTCTAAACGAAAACGTTACTGTAGTGTATGAATTAATCTTTGTGATATATAATTAAAAATTTTTAAAAATAATTAATAAGGTAAGTTTTCACTTCAATCATCTGTATCAGAAGATACTTGCTCAAAGTAATCATTTACAGTGGTACCTCGGTATACGTCTGCTTTAGAATACGTCAAATTCGGAATACGTCCTGTTTGGACAAAACAAATTTTGCTCGGTATACGACTTTTGTTCGGTATACGACTTAATTTAATTCAATTATACGCGCAATCTATGAACGAGTAGCACTATCGGTGTAGTAGGCCAGACTAAACGTTCGCGGTGCCACGGTTTATAACTTTGTCAAATTTCTTCTGATTTTAATTTGTAAGTAAAATTTAATTAGTTTTATTCATGATGAATTGCAAAAAGGCAAATGAAAAGCAACAGAAAACTAAAAAATTGACTAGAATCACAATGGAACTGAAAAAAGAGATTGTTCAGAAATATGAAAGCGATATGCGTGTTCGAGATTTAACTGCTGCATATCGTATTCCGAGAATGACGATATCGACAATCGTGAAAATTAAAGACATTATTAATTAATATCTGCTAACGTTGCGAAAGGAGTTAAATCAATTTCTAAACAGAGATCAAGAATATTAGATCATGTGAGAAATTGCTTTTGCTTTGGATAACTGAAAAACAGTGTGCTGGCGACAGCGTATTAGAACTGACATTAAAAATTACTTGAAATGTGCGAAACATAAGGCAAACCTAGTAGCAGCAAAAGCAATTATTTGCGAGAAAGTTAAAAAGACGCATGCTGATCTCATGAAGAATCAACCAGGAACTAGCCAGGATAGCTAGGTGTTTAAAGTCAGCCATTTTTTTTTTACATGAGAACGGATTAATCGTTTTTACATTACTTCTTATGGGAAAGGTTGGTTTGGTATACGTCCTATTCGGTATAAGTCCAAACATCAGGAACGGATTAAGGTCGTATACCGAGGTTCCACTGTATATGGCTTTAGTCACTACTTGTGTTCGACTGAATAATCAGTTTATCTACAACAGTTTCCTAAACCTCATCAAGTTCCCACATTCATTGTTCTTTTTCTATACGTTCGATACATTTTGAAATAATAATAGTTATTGTAATGAATGGAAAACGAAACCAAGACATTATAGTGCGCGTAACCAGAAAAAGTTTATTTTTAGTGATTCAGAGTGTGCAAGTATTCATTAAAATAACAATTTAACAAATATGAAATAATTACATTTATAAGCATTGCTAAGTGACTAGTATTTCATTAATGATTTTATAAATAACGAAGAACTGTTTTCTGCGGACGAAAGAGACGCAATACGGTTTCTAATTGATGGACGTGAGTTTAAACCAATAAACAAAGGGAGGTGTTTCTTAGTTTGTTTACAGTAATTGCCAAGTTACGATAAATAGACTATAGTCCCTCTATTATTAGGAGTAAATAAAACTATTTTCTTTTTTCACGAACTATAGAAAGTGCTGCATTTTTACAAAATGGCTACTTTATCTGGGTCGCTTATAACAAGTAATGTAAAATTAGTCATATATTACTGTCCAATATAACGATATATGCTGCTTGTATCTGTTTATTGATAAATTTTATAGAAGGAGAACAATTGTTGCTAACGGAGACGTCATTATGTGTTATCGAAACAAATGAGCGAGATCGTTCTATACAGAATTTGTGCCCTTTTGTGTTAACATCAGTATTTGACATTGTCCTATCAGGATCGAATTTACAAGTGAAACACTATATAAACAATCAATTTTCACTGGCACGTTTATCGAAAACGTTTCAGAAGTGAGTCTTATTAGCTGGACAAGGGTCGGATTTAAGTATTTCGATGTCCTAAGCTGAACTCTGTAAGGCCCCTTATCAACTATTGACAATTTTAGAAGACAATTATAAAAAGAAAAAAAAATCAAGGACAAGGAGCTGTTTGTGTTTAGTGTTACACGTTAACCAACTTACAATTCGAATCGGAAACCTGAACTAGCACTGTCCTTGTAAGTTAATAAACTATTTTTTTTCTTTACACAGAATTTCCAAAATGGCAGAAACCACACTTGAAAAAACAACGGAAACAGGTGCAATATCGCCACGTGGCTGCACTTTAATCACAGAATTGCCAGAAATAATAATTCATATATTTCAATACTTGAAAGATGGAGAATTAGATGTATGCAGGCAAGTGTGTACCAAATGGAGAGATATCATCGAAAACATAATGTATCACCGAGTAACAATGATGACAAGGGTAATTATTATAACATTATTTTGTTGATTTAATGCTATGATTATATAATTGCTACAAACGTTCAAAATTCCAAATTCGATTAAAATAAATAGTTTCTAAGTTACGAAATTCAGTTTAGAAAATATTAATCAAATGACGAATTTTACTTTTTAATTTTGGTAGAGTTTGTATGATTTGAGCGTAAAATTGTGAATTCTTTCTTTCTGAATCTAAACATTTGTAGATTTTTCAGTCATCAATGGATTTAGTGCTGTGTTTTTCCTTAGAGTTCGTTTCTTTATGTGAGGTGTTTTTTCATTTGTCTATATTATTAAACTTCAATTTCATCAATAGGACAACGATGTGTAGCTTTTAATAGATGATTTAGACTGTCCTTTTAAGGATTAAGTTTTTATGTATTTTACGCAAATGGCGTAAAAATGTAGTTTTTTGGCTCCAATATAATTTTTACGACAGTCTTATTTGTTATTTAAAGTTGTAATTATGTTCCTGATTTAAAAAATGTTTAATGAAACGGCAATAATTGACTATTCTTTTAATTTCGTGTTTGTTAAAATCTTAATTTTAAATTTAAAAAAGCCTATCAATTAAACAGATTTATTATATATTTATTTGTAGAAAAGTTCATAATTTAATTAAAAGGATCTGAAGAGTTTTTATAAACATTAACGTCAATAAATTTATACAATACTTTTAAAATAATTGAATTGCAGTAAAATAAGTTTCCATTAATCATATTACGTAAGTAAATTTACATTTTCTGTAAATATTCTAATTTATTTAAACAGAAAATTCCTTTTAATATAATAATCACCGCAATCCACGAATCGGAAAATTTACGTCCCTACGTTGGTTTCGACGACAATTTTCAATACTGTTGGTTCGTTTTAGGAGACAAATCTGATCGTCCGGTTCTGACTACAGATGATCTTAAACGATTCAGAAGACCTACACTTGAGCCTATTCCAAGTCATAAGTATACGTACTTTATGCATTCATACAATCGTAAGTAGCTGTACCATGTAAGTTTGAAATTATCTATTAATTGTTAATAACAATCACGTTTTTAATTCCAGCAAACTCTGCTAGAAAGTTTTTTTTTTTGCACATTATAAGTACTCATCAACCGACAAAACCGAAATACAAATATCAATGTTTCCAAACATTCCAGGTTTTAATATTTTTAATTATTCGTTCACTCTACGTGGAAAGTAACCTATACTTTATCACAAGTCAGACTTGATAAAGGAAATAGAAAATGTATGCCACAAAATTAATATACCGGACGGACAAAAAAAGTGCATTATTTTTTACAAAGATATTACAGTATATTCGTTCGAAACTGAACATTCCGAAGACCATCGTAATCTATACAGGCTCACACTATTTCATGGTGAGAAAGTGAATGCTTTTCCTGTTTATATTTATGAAGGTAAAACTGGTTATACGACTATTCAAGAAAAATTAAAAAAACTGAAATATTGTGAACTGAAAATGGTACAGAAGAGATGTTTCGCATATGTTTTTTATGACGCGTGTACAGAGTGCATGAATTCAGCAACTCGAGCATTTAGCGAAGTGTTTCCTTTAGTGAAATACGTTACTCATCACTTTTTACCGTCCTATTTATCAATTATTCCAAGCAAAATAGAGTATTTTCGTGTAGATAAATACTGTTTTATTCCCTGCACTATAATAATGGTTTTCGTGAGGTGGAAATAAATTTATTGTATTAAACTGGTTTTGTTATAATTTGAAATTTAATTGTCTTTTCAAAGGGCTGTTGTAATTGATTTTTTTTAAAAAAATGGATAAATAACTACGTACGAGTTTTACTGACACCACAAAATTATATAAATTCAAGAGTATAAAATCAAGGTTCTTTATTGTAATACTTTTTTTATAATCACGATTAATATAATTTTAGTAATTTTAGTTAACGGATGTAAAACATATCAAAATCTTAAATTTTTTGGAATTCATTTTGGATAATTAGGTCAATTTTTCAAGGTCTTAATCAATCTTTCTGCGGGGCCAAGAATCATTTCTGCAATCGAAGACTCCTAATTTTCATTAGAATTAGTAAACGTCACATCATCGTCACTAGGTAAACGGCTCATCAAAATGACAGGTGTTTGTAATTAGTTGTTGAAATTACAAAATAAAAAAAAATGGCTAACTTATTTACAGTGACTCTCAAACATCATAAGCGCTTATTTGATGTAACATATTCACACCTGTAATTTTCAAATAAAAGTAA